CTCTCCCCCTCCCCTCTCCCCCACCACCGCACTATTCTAAATGTACCCTTATATAAATCAGTAATGGGATAGCGACACTCCCTATCGATATTACAGTATCACTATGCCACAGTGTAATAAAAATTTGAAAAGAAAAAACAGTGAAAACAACGACAATAATGTCGCAGGAAGAAAAATTTTTATGCTTCTTCTGGACATTGAAAAAGCTTTTGATAGAGTATGGATTGATTGCCTTATCTTCAAAATGATACAGAACAAATATCCCACAACGCCAATAAAATTAATAAATGACCCACACAGCACACTATATTTCGAAAACATTACAACAATATTCCAATATTTCAGTGCGACAGCAATGTTGTTGATGTCTTTATGTCAAATATTGCCACAATATTTCAGGGCAATATAATAAATAAAACTTTCTGATATATTGCTGAAATCATAGACAGCTTTTATAGGTGGCATAAATATTTTAGAACAGTACCTATAAAATGATTATTTTGTATTATTTTTCAGAAGAAACGAAAACCTCGATGCGCAGATCAACAAAAATATAGATAGTCGAAAATATAGATAGTAGATATAGATAGTTTCTATAATCGCCTTAGCGTACATACATATAAGTAACAATATCAAACAAAAAAGTAAAATGATATATTGCTGAAATCATAGACAGCTTTTATAGGTGGCAGAAATATTTTAGAACAGTACCTATAAAATGATTATTTTGTATTATTTTTCAGAAGAAACGAAAACCTCGATGCGCAGATCAACAAAAATATAGATAGTTTTCTATAATCGCCTTAGCGTACATACATATAAGTAACAATATCAAACAAAAAAGTAAAATAATTCAAATCTGGGGAAAGTTTTCACAAGAGATTACATCTCGGATTCTCTGTCCTCTCTATAAATTCTGCTAGATGCCTCCTTCTGTTTTTCAGCGCGACATCTCGCTTGTTTGGCTCTGCAATTCAATATATAATTATATAAATCTTTAAAATTGTTTATGAATGTCTGTCGTATATGAAATTTTAATGTGAAACATTGTCGGCAAGGGGGTAACGTGAAACTCAAAAAATATTTTACGTTATAAGTGTATTGTATGCCCTACATTATTAGTAATACAATATGTAAAATTTCAGACACTCACTCTTCTCGTATTCGACGCGTTTTGGCCTGTGATAGCCACGTACTATTCGCTTCTGTGATTTCTTTATCGGTGGCATGAGGTTTGTGTGTTCGGACTACTTCTAAAAAGAGTGAATAATATTACTATAATTTGACTATTTTAACAAGAGGGATTATGGTATCAAGTACAGGAAACCCAGCGAGTTCGAGAGTGTGAGGAGAACAAGAACTACACTTCAACTGTAACTAACGCAAATATTATTGTCCGGTAAAGTCCGAATTATCTTTCAATGATTTGAGTTATTCATTTTTAGGAGTTCAATAAAAAGAAATGATACCATCAACGACAATAAATTCATTAAAATAATTGGAAACTGAGCGGAAAGAGGTGAGACACTGAGCAACTCGCTATGACGCAATGGCTCAAGTAGGACGATCAAGTTTGGGTTTATCGATATCAATTAACTCGAAAAATGTACTCTCGCTATAAAAGACAAAAGAACAAGTAGGGTCACGTTATTACGAGTTTACTGAAGAACTATCTTAAAAAATAAATACTTACTTATAATCAAAGTGACAACGTTGTAAAAGTCTTTGAATGCCATCTTGCCTTTGCGTCCTTTAAAGCTGTACTCTTCGGCCAATGCGTTGCGAAGGATTTTGACTAGTATACCTGATATGGTACTCTGTATATCGCCTCCACCGATAACTATCAAAGCTTTAACCTATGCAAATACAATTTCGTATAAGTTCATGAGGAATTAAATTCTCAGAAGAATTGGATTAGTAACGTATATTTTACCATCGACGAGCGAAAAGTCGCGTCAGATAATTGACGATCGAAATTTTTCAACTGCTCGGAAGTACTAAATGGCAAACCGAGTTCATCTAGATCAATACCACCTGTAGCCCTGATCTGCTCACTGGATAGACAATCGCGTACAGCCCTCATATCAGCCTCCACATTTGTTATTTTCATTGTCAATGAATTCAATTTTCTATATACCTCCTTCAAAGTTTCTGCATAGTGTGTAAATATCACATCACTCATATATATTTACATACAGTGAAAAATACTTATTTTGTAATGTCAGTTAAAAGAGGAGATTATAGGGATTATTTCATTTTAAAAAAGTGAATTTTTTAAATTGTTGTAACATGTTCCTCATTATATTCCTGACTAATTTGTGAAGTATCCAGACGCATAGATATATTTTTTACTTTCGACAAATATTTTTGATCTATAGAAGTTGTATATTTTCACATTCTTATATATGTTGCGCTATTCCCGTAAAAAGAATGAACAAGTTCGATGCTTGATAAGATTAGAAAGTTTAAGTTACTATAGTCTCCCCTAATTGAAAAATACAAGCATATTCTGTATTATACGTACGATGCAGTTGGCCGAGCGTAACAGTTTCTGTAGCGATTGATTCCATAGGGTGGCCATGCAGTGAAGCGATAGACTCATCTATGACTCGAGGTTTGTTTTGGTTTGATACAGTAACTAGGAAATGGGTCGAGAAAGAGTAATGTTTACAAGTAGCTTGAATAATAATTGATTTCGACAATTTTGAGTAAAGTAAAAAAGTGTTTCAAAATTAACAATAAATAGCAGCATTTCAAAGATTCCTTTATAAATAACATGAACAAATCTTTGAATGCAAATATTTCTTTGGAATATATGAAATTGGTATTATCAATGTCAGAGTGAATAAGGAATCCTTTCTGATTGTAAGTCTTTTAAAGATCCTCCTTAGTATAATAACCATAGAATAGATGAAAACATTAGATACTATTATAAGCAACAGCAACAACATAAAATTTGCAGGAAGTACTCTTAACTAGTAGTAAAAGCTGGCCTATTGTGGGAAATATGTGAGGTTCGGGAGAAAAGTAGCTGAAATACAAAATGAAAATGATATTTCTGTTCGACGAGAATAGACTGATAAAAAATGTAAACAATCATCAGTATTCTTGATAATGTAAAATACTTTCTACAAAATTATGAATGCGAAGCTAAAGCTTGAATGCTCTAAGTATATAAAGCATTATTTACATATCGGGTATGTCTTTCAGAATCGCTCCGATTGTATTTCCTCCTTTGACGATTTTTTCCTGCGTTCCTTTATGTTTCCTCGATAGAATGCTCTCCCGAAGAATGACATATTTTTTCACGCTTTTGGCATCTTGTCCGATGGCCGAGAATGATCGTGTGGTATCCTGAGACAGCGTGAATGGAATGTCTGGATAATCTTTCCTTGAGTTCTCTTCATCGGATGAATGTTCTGCTTTAGCGACTCAACTGTGCCTTGACTTTCGTAGGCAATCCGCGTACTCAGTTCCCGATGCACTGTCGATATCTGATATTTGTTCCGCCATCTTCAATTTTTCTTTTCCCGTTTTGTACGATTCTGAAATTTATAACTGATCTTGTAATAACTAATTATAATAAATAATTGCTTATTTGTCAAAAACGATTTTTCTTCAAAATTTCATCTACTTTCTAAATGTTTTACCACAAGCTCGTATGCTTCACACAGATGTTCAAGTATAATAATAATAATAATCTAGTCACTTTGGAATTCACTTACGTGCAGTGCCAAATATTTTTAATATTTCGCATACTGGCCATTCATCTTCGTTTCGTGATACCTCCAAATTTGCAATGGTCTTGTTGATGCGAATTTGATCTTTAGTAGGTGGCCATATGCACGATTTCTTATCATCCGACAACCATATGGTTGGCACCATTTCTATTCCATCAGTAAACTCGACGATTGTGTACAATAATTTTTGTCGTGAATGATCATTTTTGGATACGTTCATTTTGATAATCTGTACATAATAATATTAATAATGTACCAACAATGGCTTTATTTTGCACATCGCCTACTGATGATTCCGTATTCGTTTTCGGCAATTTTGTATCTATTCACTATAGGTGATGTATAAAATATGTGAGAATCGAAGTTTCCCATGGCCGGTGCTGCAGCACGGGCTTTTACTTTGTTTATGCGTTGCACAGCATATTTTGAACTATGTGAGTGAGAGCGTGGTAGTTATATATATTGCGTCTCCTTCTCTCGCCCGTATTGTGCGGTCTACCGGCAAGAGGCGCGTAAACAATGTATCGGACGTCGTTCTCTTCTACAGCTCAACTCTACATCGAACCGCGAGATCAGGGTCATACTCTTCTCTTTCCGTTATTCGTATAAAGGGTTAGTTTTCCATAAATCAAAGACTATATAGACAATATATGATTACTTAAGATTTGTAATTTTGAGATTCGGCTATTGGTTGAAACAATGAAAACTATGGAAATTGCTCGTAAAACACTGCTACGTCGTTATTTCACAGTACGTTTTTGTAGCTTAAATATACGATGTTCGTACTACTTTGAGAACGTAGAAAGAATTTATTACTTATTTCCAGAATGCTTACCTGTGGTATGTAATATTTCTTAGCACAACACGTTTCTTGAACACGTGTACGACAGGTGTATTTCACTGTGATTTCACTGCTAACGCGTGACAGATCAGATCTGACATGCGCACAATGCCGGCCGGAAAAATGGCGCGAAGCATATCGGCAACAGGGTCGACCAATAGCATCGCGTGTGATACATGTATTTGCCGTGTCTGTTACTTTGGCATCCGACAACTGCGCTTTCGTTGAAACGAATGCGTGATCTTGCCGGATTTGCCACGTGGCTTGCCATATGCTTACGATCTGTTCACGAGGTCCTCAGAAAAGTGTCGATAATTCTGCTTCATTAATAATTTGCCCGTATTATTACAATAAAAAGTCTCTAATAAAACGTGAAAAAGATATTGAAAAAACGTAGTTATATCGGACTCTCATAACCAAGTGTTTTTTTTGGTTCAGATTATTGTGTCATACTTTTCCTTGGCTACTCGCCGAGGGTCTGCCGTAATACAAGAAAAGGAGTAAGTACTGAAGTTTCAATAATATCATAACAGATGCATGTGGAGAAAATGGCGTTAATGTGATACAAATAGTAATGAAATCAAGCTTTTGATTGAAAAATTTATATTCTCAAAACATGGAGTCTCACCATCAAAAATCCACTTCAATAATAAAAAAATAAAAAAATTGAATATCTTTGCTTATAAAAACTTTGAACCTAGTGTTATAAAAGTAGTAAACATCAATTTCATGCAATTGAAAACTGTACAATGTTTTATTGCAGAGTAACTCAGAGTAACTGTTATGCGAGTACTCCTTTACTTGGCGAACATTGGTTTTGTATTGTTGAAGAATATGGATGAATATGCAAAAGGCAAAATATATGGTAAACGACACATCAGAAGATTACTCAAGGCACAGACCGATGCCGAGTTGAAAACTCTGAACGCATTAACGCCAAGCGGAGATTCTGTCACGCGCGATCATAGCTCTGATTACCGAAAAGCCGATAATAATACTGAGCAACATAGACATACAGTTTCAGAAGCACATGACGAAACAGAACGATGTGAACTCGAACTTGGTCATACTTTGCAGGATATAGACGAACATATTGAACAAGCTATTGATGAGACAGTAAGCAACAGTGATTGTGAATCTATCAATTCGAGTCTTCGTAGCGATTGTTTTAGAAAATCTAGCGACGGGAATTCATCAAATTGTAATTATGAAATCGATAATACTGAAGCAATTTATGTTATTACGGAACTGAGCCCCACTGAAAAAACGGAAAGATTCAAACACGAAATCCGTTCTTGGGCTCTAACATTCGACATCTCTCACGGGGCATTGTACCACTTGATGCCAATTTTAGGGCGTTATTCGGAGCATAACTTCCCAGTTGACCCGCGCACACTTCTCGAGACACCGAAGTCAACAAATATAGTCACTCTCAGTAATGGCAATTACTGTCATTGTTATTTTGAAGACATACTAAAAAGAATCTTAGTTGATGTGAAACGTTGTACAAGCAATGAAATTGAACAACTCGACTTGCTAGTTGGTATTGATGGATTACCAATTTCAGACTCGTCTTCCTCGTGTCTGTGGCCTATTTTATGTTCAGAAAATATTACAAAAAAGGTACACGTAATCGGAATTTTTCATGGATACTCGAAGCCGAGAGAGGCTAACGAGTTCTTGCAAATGTTTGTTGACGATATAACTCATTTCATAAATCATGGAATTAATGATGA